ATATTCAGAATATAACGTCACAATTCTATTGCAATAAAGCGCGATTGGAGAGTTATATTGCAGTGGAAGCCGGTTTAATGCCATAAGAACTTAGCAAATTCAAATCTTGGGCAATACGCATGGAAGGAATAGTTGACTTGAAGTCGAAGCAGGTGAGAGGCGGTACCATAAGGAGACATGACAGACATTCCTGGCGCAAGAAACCGCGATAGCAGAGTTATATTGCAGTGGAAACAGGTTTAGTTCCATAAGAATTTGGCATTGCAAATCTTGGGCAATACGCATGAAAGGAAAGGTTGACTTGAAGTGGAAGCAGATGGTAATACCATAAGGAGACATGACAGAAAATTGATGAGCAAGAAACCGCGATATCAGAGTTATACTGCAGTAGAAGCAGGTTTTAGTACCATAATAACTTGCCATAACAAATCTTGCGCAATACAAATTGAGGGCAAAGTTGATGTGCAGCGAAAGCAGACGATGGCATCTTAATAATATACTTTCACAAACCTATTGCAAGAAACCGCTATAGCAGAGTTATATTGCAGCGGAAGCAGGTTTTAGTTCCATAAGAACTTGGCATAACAATTCTTGCACAATACGCATGGAAGGCAAAGTTGATTTTCAGCGAAAGCAGACGATGGCATCTTCATAATATAGCGTCACAATCCAATTTCAAGAAAGCGCGATAGCAGAGTTATTTTGCAGTGGAAACAGGTTTAGTGCCATATGAACTTGGTATTACAAATATTGTGCAATACGCATGGAAGGCAGAGTTGATGTGCAGTGGAAGCAGATGGCGGTACCATAAGGAGATATGACAGAACAATCCTATTGCAAGAAACAGCGATAGCAGAGTTATTTTGCAGTGGAAACAGGTTTAGTGCCATATGAACTTGGTATTACAAATATTGTGCAATACGCATGGAAGGCAGAGTTGATGTGCAGTGGAAGCAGATGGCGGTACCATAAGGAGATATGACAGAACAATCCTATTGCAAGAAACAGCGATAGCAGAGTTATTTTGCAGTGGAAACAGGTTTAGTGCCATATGAACTTGGTATTACAAATATTGTGCAATACGCATGGAAGGCAGAGTTGATGTGCAGTGGAAGCAGATGACGGTACCATAAGGAGATATGACAGAACAATCCTATTTCAAGAAACAGCGATAGCAGAGTTATATTTCAATGAAAGCAGGTTTAGTGCCATAAGAACTTGGTAAAATAAACCTTGCGCAAATCACATGGAAGGCAGAGTTGACGTGCAGGGGGAGCAGGTGATGATACCATAATGAGATATGACAGAACAATCCTGATTCAAGAATTTGCGATAAGAGAGCCATAATTCCTTAGAAACAGATTAGGAAACAAGAACATTTCCCTATGATTCTTGTGCAACACGCAAGAAAAGCAGAGATAATGCGCAGTGGAAAAGGCACCAAACAAATTCTGATGCATTGAATCAGCAAGAAGGCAAAGTTGATTTGCTATGAAGCATCCAGTAGAGCAATTGGCTGAAGACCTCAATATTTGAATTTTGATGAGCCGCACAATTCATTTAGCAAATAAATAATAATTTTGAAAGCAAAATGTAATAAAAATTTCATAAAATATAATAAATATTAAAACACAAAAACGCACAACGAAGATACAACACATTCACACACATTGATTAAATATATATATATATATTCATTTCTTAATAAATAAAAAATATATTTCGAAGAACAAAATAAGATAATTATAATAATTAATAATTATCATGAGCATTATTTTTGGCAGCGCTCCAAGGGCGCAAATAAGGCCATACAGAACAAGGAATAAAAAATTGTCCAATGCGGACATGGTGATGTAAAACCAATTAACAAATGTTGGCCAAAGAGCTGCAACATGTGGCCAAACTGCCATCAAAATCATATAAAAATGATATAAAATGAAAAATGCATTTTCCAAAAGACATGGAATTATTTCATGAAATAGGCATTCCAAAAGAATTCCGATTAATCCAAAGATGAAATCCATTTTGGCGTTGGGACTTTCTAAACTTCAAAATATATTATTAACAATGAGAGAGAAATTGAGATTGAAATTTCTTTATTACATCGCTCATATAAGGTTATATATGGTTAAATATAAAAATAAATATATAGAATAAATAAGAATATATAATGATAAATATATGAATAAATAGTTGTATATATATTAAAAATAAAGAAAGCATATCCTGACCAGGAGCACCTGTGCTTTTCAGAAGGCAGAGCGCCATCTGGTGGAACAGAAATCAACTATTCATTGATTTAGCCTGTTCCCTGATATTTGGCCAACCCAATTTCTTGATAAATCAAGAAAAGCCATCCACGAACGCGTTTCGCGCTTTTGGCGCTCGTCAGCGTGGAGTAGGCTGTACCACTGCGAACAAAAAGATTTTTGGTCCCAGTGGCTTCTTGAGAAACCAAGAAATGGGTATTTAGGGCCAAACTTGCGTAAATACGCTTAACACAAGAAAAAAAACAATAGAGAAAAAATATTTTTTTTAAATCAGTATTAGATATATAATTATGCAATATATACATGTTATAATAGAAAAAAAAGATTTTTCTGTTTGATTATTGATAATTAGTTATATAGAAATAATACTTGATGCTGATTATTTTGAGAATAGAGATTTGTTGAGCAGTCGTGGCAATGATTAAATAAAATCAGTTATCAAAATAGATTTAATTGAACTTATGGAATATATGAAAAACATGGTTTGATAAAAGTATTGCCTGGCTTAAGGCGAGTAGAATAAAGAAAACAAATATTATTTACATAATGTACAAAAGTTTTGAGCCAGCCATTGGGATAAAACAACAACGAGTTTTTATAGGGGAAGAGTAACCTCTGGCGGTCGATTTAGCAGAATATTTGAATCTATGATATATAATTTTAAATAAAATAATATTTTAATATAACATACATATATATATATATATAGAAGCAATGGGCGCCTCTCCCGTCAAAAACTGACGCCATCTATTGACCGTCGCCGCAACTAGCGGCCTCGGGTCGGTGACAAAGCCACAACACCAGCTTTGGCAAACTGAGAAGCGTCCACCTAGAGACCATGGTTTCGGGCTAATGGCCCTTGTCAGTCTAGGGCGGACTTTATTCCATGAGATCCACACGGGATCTAATGGAATCTTCACAATCTACCAAAGAGGTGTTTTGCTGGCAATGTGGCTGGACCAAATCTATGGCTAGAATATAGATGGAAAATTTGCCGGGAGGAAATTAATCCATAGAAGCAATGGGCGCCTCTCCCGTCAAAATAAACGTCAAAAACTGACGCCATCTATTGACCGTCGCCGCAACTAGCGGCCTCGGGTCGGTGACAAAGCCACAACACCAGCTTTGGCAAACTGAGAAGCGTCCACCTAGAGACCATGGTTTCGGGCTAATGGCCCTCGTCAGTCTAGGGCGGACTTTATTCCATGAGATCCACACGGGATCTAATGGAATCTTCACAATCTACCAAAGAGGTGTTTTGCTGGCAATGTGGCTGGGCCAAATCTATGGCTAGAATATAGATGGAAAATTTGCCGGGAGGAAATTAATCCATAGAAGCAATGGGCGCCTCTCCCGTCAAAATAAACGTCAAATAAACGTCTCTAGGTGGACGCTTCTCAGTTTGCCAAAGCTGGTGTTGTGGCTTTGTCACCGACCCGAGGCCGCTAGTTGCGGCGACGGTCAATAGATGGCGTCAGTTTTTGACGTTTATTTTGACGGGAGAGGCGCCCATTGCTTCTATGGATTAATTTCCTCCCGGCAAATTTTCCATCTATATTCTAGCCATAGATTTGGCCCAGCCACATTGCCAGCAAAACACCTCTTTGGTAGATTGTGAAGATTCCATTAAATCCCGTGTGGATCTCATGGAATAAAGTCCGCCCTAGACTGACGAGGGCCATTAGCCCGAAACCATGGTCTCTAGGTGGACGCTTCTCAGTTTACCAAAGCTGGTGTTGTGGCTTTGTCACCGACCCGAGGCCGCTAGTTGCGGCGACGGTCAATAGATGGCGTCAGTTTTTGACGTTTATTTTGACGGGAGAGGCGCCCATTGCTTCTATGGATTAATTTCCTCCCGGCAAATTTTCCATCTATATTCTAGCCATAGATTTGGCCCAGCCACATTGCCAGCAAAACACCTCTTTGGTAGATTGTGAAGATTCCATTAGATCCCGTGTGGATCTCATGGAATAAAGTCCGCCCTAGACTGACGAGGGCCATTAGCCCGAAACCATGGTCTCTAGGTGGACGCTTCTCAGTTTGCCAAAGCTGGTGTTGTGGCTTTGTCACCGACCCGAGGCCGCTAGTTGCGGCGACGGTCAATAGATGGCGTCAGTTTTTGACGTTTATTTTGACGGGAGAGGCGCCCATTGCTTCTATGGATTAATTTCCTCCCGGCAAATTTTCCATCTATATATATATATATATAT